TACCAGTCATAAGCAAATCTATCTTCATGAAACAGCTTGAAACGCAATACACCATGCCTATATTCTAGAATCTTCAATAACCAACTTTTTAATTTAAAATTGATCGTTTTGGCCAACACGGCCAAAAATACTTAATAATGCTGAATCTATTTATCTGAATAACATTCAACAGCAGTCGTTGGGATAATGACAACGTTTCAAAGTTTCTATGTGTTTTATAGTACATTCTTCAACGAGTGCACAACAATGGCAATTATTCACGAGTTGATGTTTACGACTCTAGCGACGTAATTTCTGAATAGCAAGTGTCGTAATTTCTACGAGTGAATAATAGCCATTATGCGCGAGTAGAAGACTATATTTTCTCTACGACCTTGAAATAATCAGAATAAATTTTGAACGGATTTTATTTTATTTGAAACTCAAGTATAAGTATTTAGAGTAAGCTACTAGTTTTGTATTTGTATAATGTGCTTCTTAACATTGAGTAGATTTTCCATAAACTGAGGATCTATAATGTTGGGAAAGTTTTGTAAAGTAAGCTAACAAAACATTCTCGCTAAAAGAATTCACCCTATTACTTTTTTCCATTCCATAAATTTTGCATTTGATTGCACATAATACTTCTTTGATTTTTCTGGCAATAATTGTAGAGATGCGAATTCGCCATTTTCTGAATTTCAAGTGGAGTACAAATTTCATTGTCACTCTTCCTGGTTTCAAGATTCATTTTCTGTTGAATGATCAGTGCGAAATGTAACGGAAAATAAAAGTTCCACAATGTCTAGGTTACGTACATGAAACTGCGAAATTATTCACTTGTCTATCGCGATTCAAAAGAAGCGCGAATTGCAAAGAGAATGCAATTCTGCCGTGGATTCCGAAAATTCTAGGAATGTTTTGGGACGACAGGAATCCACGGGGTGTGTAATTGATGTCATTCGTCGATTAATTAACAGCAGGCATACGTATATTATTAAATGAGCCTAAAGAAAACGTTTACCTCCCTCCCTCACTCACACACACACACTACCACATATGTTGAAAGTTAAGAGCTGGTCCCGGCTGGCCAGTGACGCGCTGAAGAGGTATTTGGGGGGGGGGGGGCAGCCCGCAGCGGATAGGTTCCAGCGGGGAAAGAACACCTCTTCCCAGCACTACATTTATGAGACAAATTAGCAAAGCAGTTGATGCGCCCAAAACTAATAAACAGTACTCAACTACTTGAGAAAATCTCCATTTTTTTAAAAAAATTATAACGATTAAACTTAAAATTACGCAGAAGGCTACTAATATTGTAAAGAAACAATGTGAAATGACTTGAACATCAGTATTGAAGAGGAAAGTGATCTGCAGATTCAATAAAGAAGGTTTAGAAGAGGTTGGATAAGTTAAACTTTTTTGACTTAAAAAAATCAGAGATTGTAATGAAAATCTGCTTTTACCATATTGTTTAGTACACTGTTCTCTATTCGGACAAAAATAATGCAAAATGTGGAGAAAAATGATAAAATGAGTTTGAAATGAATTTGAGTAAATGTTCTCTTTGCTTTTATGAAAAAGGCTTATCCTCCAAAATCAAAATATCGTAAAGGCCTTTGAAACGCAATAACTTTAACTTGTAAGTGTGAACCAAGTTGAAGATCAGAAGGTTATCTGTGAATTACGCGTGACACACATCAATACCAAGATCGTAGTATAAACCAATTTTTGCTGATCCTCAGAATAGATTTTAATATTGAAATTTTGACTGCGAATTTTTGGGTCGCTTGAATAAAACATAGCTGACGCGAAGTAAAAGATGTTTTTTTTAGTATGAATAATCCACTCTAGCTTCTTGTAACTTTATCATCAATGATGTTTTAACATATCAGTTTGTTTATCTAAAAGCTACGCATAAGTGTATGATAATTAGCTTTCTCGATTAATGTAAATAGTGTATTATGGTCATAAAGTAGGTAGCACTTATTTTTTAAGAGCTGAAAACGCAAAGTGATTGGGTTGCTTGGAGAGACTAATGGTGTAAAAGCAAAGCAAACTACATAAATATTACATTAGCAATATTTAAAACAAATTTGTTGCAAATCAATAAGATATTCTTTCCAAGCTAATTATATTTTTTTATGTAAGTTTACTTTCAACGCAGAAAAAAAATTGTATCTTCCCTATTCCATTCTGTTTTTACACACAGAATACATTTCGTACAATCCCTTCACCATGATAAAATTATTGAAATGAGTTTAAAAAATCAATCTCATTGCTTCATAATAAAATGCTGAGTTATCAGCAATAGCACTTGTAAATGTGAATTGGGAAAGAGAAAATTAATGTTTGACTACAAGAAAACAAACTTTTTTTTTTTTTTTGCAAAACGAAACACTATTTAGCATCCATGCGAGTCTAATTGGTCCATATTCATAACTTTTTCCAGGTTAAAGTTTATATAATTTTATAATAAATTCTTTAGGTTTTATATGCAAATCCCAACTAATGTTCTCGGAGCTATCTACCACAAATTATATGAGTTTAGCTTTTTATGAGAGCAAAGAACTTTTCTGAGAACATAAATAAACGGGAACTTGATCAACTCGACTTTCAGCACTATGAATTTCAATCTGTGCGTGTAAATTCCGATTGTATTCTTATTCCAATCGTCTCCTCAAGTTCAAATTTATTCTTCAGTGGACAAGATTTGTAATCTGTCTCCACCCAGATAATTCATATACTTGTGTATATCAGAATATTTAAAGTATCGCTTTTTCTCTTTCCTTTTCATTGAAATTTTAAGGGTAAATTAAATGAATATTTTATTAGCTGTTAGATACTAGCATGATGACCTGCAGTACCAAAGAAGACAAATTCCGTTCCAATTGAAGCAATAGTGATTGACGTTAGATGATACTGTAAATGATTAACATTTTGATAACATAACAGTTTAGAAATTCTTTGTAGTTTGGGTGTATGCAAAACGAATAAGCTTAAATGTTTATACGAAAGGTAGTAAAATGCTGCCGTGGAATGATATTCCGTAAATGCGTAAATAAGACTGAAATTATCACTATGAACACTTCTAGTCTTCCCAACTGGAAGCAAAGTAAAAGTACTTAAGTGACGATGAATGAATAAAATGTAGGGGAGGAGTCAATAAAATGAATATTTCACCTGGAAAACTACTCATTTGGGTACCAAACAAACGTTTGTCAGTTAAAGCTAATGAAACAAATTTTTGTAACCCTGTACTGTCACATTGACTATCGAAAGGTCACTTTTAAAGGTCGGAGTCCGTTGAGAATTTTAACAGCATGCCGTCAGTTTAGAACAATCGAAACAAATTAATTGTAACTCATAAAGGCGTAGGAGTACTACTACTCCAAAAAAATATTTAAATGTTTTTCTGATAAGGTGATATTCCAAGACGTTTCAAACGACACATGGCTGATAATGCAAACAACTGTATTGTTCCATTATAAAACTATACTCTTTTAACAAACTCTAACCGCATCCGTTATTTGCTTTATGTAGACCTAAAGGCAACATATAGTCATCTAATCTCATTTATGAATTTCAAGATAACGTATCTCATGATAAAATATTGTTTACTGTATATTTCGAGGGATGTGGATTCTGTTTTCATTCACAAAAATACTCAAGTGGTATGCCTTTTGAATGAAATTCTTATGAGAGACCTTCACTTTTTTCAGAATATACCGGATTTTGGATTTGATTTGGATAGAATATACCCATTGATTCCTTGTTTGGATTAGTGTTTAATAAGGCTTGACTTCACATTGCGTTTCTGGGCTCATTCCTATGGCATCGACTTGAGCACTGCCGTTTATACGATGAAGTAATTTGATATTTCACTGAAAGAAAGACAATTTTCCTGGTAACTCTTAAACATAACACCGCTGACACTACCAAAATTCTTCTTTGTGGAGCAAAACACAATGCTTCAGTGTCAGGATCAAGATTAACAGGATATGACACAGGATGTCAACAAAGCCACACATTTCTTTCATATAAATGTACTATATTTTCATTTTATTCAGAAATTGTAGCACCTTGACAGAACTATAATTTAAAAAAGTGTGCGGTGCTCGGGGCCAATCCACGCAGCAAAGCGCCCGGCCGGGCGGCGGGGAGGGCACGCTGGGAGTGGGACAAACAGTCCGAAAACCGGCGCGCAGCATCGCTGGCCAGGGGCGCCCTTCTCGCAGGGAAGCAAACGGGCCTCAGGCCGCGTGGGCGATGGCGAAGGGACTGGCCGGGGCAGGGGCCGGGCGCGCGCCCCCGCAACCGCTGCGGCTTCCCGGCCTCCTCGCCGCAGACGACGACGTCGGGTTGGCACGGGAGGGGACAGGGGGCGGCGCGGAGTTGAGCGGGGAGGGGAGGGGCAGGGCGGAGACGGGTCGAAAGGGAACGGGACAAGAAGGGGGAGGGGTCAGAAGGCGAGCGGAGGCAACACTCCTTTCAAGCTAAAAGCTAACGGGTCCTTTTTTTTACTTTCACACTTCGTGTAAAAATTGACTAATGTTTACGTAGATCTACAAAACCATCTGGCTAGGTAGGAAAATATGAAAAAAGTTCTTATTTGGTATCAGTTCAATAGTTCTTGAAAGATGTACATATCGAACAGAAAAACAGCGTACAGCGGGAGGCCGGCGCGCAACACGAAGCAGCGCGGCGGGCAGCGGGAGGCGAGGCGAGCGAGGCGCGGCGCGAATGACGGCGAGGCGGCCGGCGGCCGGGGCGGGCGGGGCGGCGCGTAGCGGTGTATGGGCGGGCGCACGCAAATGCGGATGGCGGGAAGAAAGCAGCCCGCACCGCCCAGCCCCACCGCCCCGCTCCGCACGCCCTCCAGCCGCCGTCCTCAGGCCACCCGACGGCGCTCCCGGAAGGCACTCTACTGCTCTCGCGGCTGCGGCTACGGTGGGGGCGGCGAGTCGGGTGGCCCCGCGCCGCCTCACTGCGCAAGGGCGAGGTGGAACAAACAGGGGGATTCAATGATATGCTCGACAAAGTTCAACACGTTCCATCCTCTTGCTGGCGGAGAGAGCCGTGCGCGCCACCAGCACGGCACCCTTGCCCTCCCTTACAGTACATGTTCATTGTATTTGTGTAAGAGTGTATTTATTATAATATAATATCAATCCTCGGAATCCAATAGGTTTTCATTAACAATATGAACAAACAGACTTTTCAATGCAACAAAATCTCTATACAAACTCCTCCCAAGACTTCATCTCTCAAAAGAATTGAACAGCTTTATCTTCATGTATACATGTAATAGTAAAAAGCGTGATGAAGTCTAACGCTCTGGTTGATCCCGTGCGGGGCGGGCGCGGGCAGAGAGGCCGGCGTTCGTCCCCGCTCCTTAGCAAAAGTAGAGCAAACGTTTACAAACCCAAGTCTCTTGGCGTAAAAATATGCAGCAGATTTACAAGACGGTGTAATAACAACAGAAGACGCATGTTTCACGACGGAGAAGCGTATTTTGCGCGACAGGGCGGCGGCGGCGGCGGCGGCGCTGGCGGCGGCGGCTGGGCGGCGGGCGGACGGGCGATGGGGGCGAAGAGGTCGGGCTCGCCGGGAGCGGCGCGGCGGCGGCGGCGGCGGCGGCGGCGGCCACTCGACGGCCTGCGCGCACTGGCCCGCGCCTGGGGCGCCGCCGCTGGCACTACTTGTGGTGGTACTTGTATTGGTGGTAGATGTTGTGGTGGTAATGGTGGTGGTAGTCGTGTTGGTCGTGGTGATGGTAGTTGTTGTTGTAGTAATAGTAGCAGTAACAATAGCGGGGATGACAGGGCCGCTGAGTACTACGTCAGTAACTTGAAGAACATGATGGCCAAGGAGATGTTGATGAAGAGCACCACTAGCACCAGCTGCTGACGTGAAAACCATTCCTGCAACAGGCAACGACATATTAATGTTGGTTTAATGCTTTTAGACTAAAGAAAACTTAAGACATTTAATTATACATTTGCGTTAATTATTTCACCACTACAACTACGTAACACTATTACACAAGTCTCATTTGGATCATTTTTCGATACTTCAAAATTAGACTTTAATACACTTAAACGCATTTTCCACAGAATTAAAAAAAAAACTTTTTACGTTTTGCTTCAGAAAAAAGGATACATACTGCTTCAACACCTGCAGATTTTAAATGTTTCTGCAAATTTCTGGAATTATAGATGGTTTAACCGTTAAAAACTTACAACAAAACTTCATTAAAAGGGGAAAACATGTTAAATATATTTTTCTTCCACTTCGTTTTCACAAAACCTATGAAAAAATAAAAATTATTTAACTTATAATACAAATATAGAACCTAAACGCAACCGCTTTGAAGTAAAATCAAGGAAACTTAATTAGGGTACTATAAAAACTCTTGTATTAATACGTCATCAATAATCGGAAAATTTAACACACTTGAGATAAAACACAAAAACTTTATAAAATATCGCCATATTGACGGTTAAAGTTTTATCTACATTTCCTTATCATCTGTAATAACCCGTACCAATCTGTATTTCCGTATCGTATATTACTCGCACAATTTTCAATAAAATTAATTTGATCTAACGAAACAGTTTAAATATAGTATCGTTATTAATTTAGCAGTTACTTTGTTCTGAAGTCTGTTTTATTTCGAGGATCAGTATCAACTAGCATGTAAGTATCTAATTTATCATAATTTTATTCCATAGGCGCATATAAATATTACTTTCTGTCAAACTGATTGAATCAATGACCACTGATCTGTTAATTAGGATCCTTGATTAAGGCGGTATCTAGAAGAAGGGCTTATACTCCAAAACTGTGTTTTAAGAAAAGCGCATGGCAAGTTTTCGACCACAGCATTCTACACACTGTTCTATTTAATTGCAAATTACATGTTATTTTATTATATTAATTTTAAACTTAATTTCATTTAGAAAGTAATTAAATTCTTCTTAATTTCAAACTTGTGCGTTTTGAAAAAAATGCATTACGTGCAAAACAAATCTTCTGGAGAACACTTTATATTTATTATTAAAATGATGTAAATTATAAATATTATATTTTAATTTGATTTTATTATAAACTGGCGTGGCGAGATTTTATTATAAACTGGCTGTAATGTAAATTTCTTATCTATTTTTCAGAGTTCATCTTGGGAGCTCTTAGATACAGACTCAGTTATGTCGACATTTCCAGTGGACACATCTTGAGGTGTACACTCTTAAAAAAAGTGTTAGTAAAATGTTTTGATCTCCTCCCTTAAGTACCCGTATAAGTTCAGAATATCAGTAACTTTTGCCGGATTAAGAGGAGCTCGAATGACAGGTTTAAGTGCAAATATTCTAGGGAACTTTTTACTTAACGGAATATTGCTCTACATACCTAACGAATAGAGATAAAAATTACGAAAGTTTGTTTGGATATAGATTAAAGTACGCAGAATTTATAGGAAGAAGGACCCATAGTCCTATATGTGCATGGTCTTATGAGTCCCTCTTCTAAGAACTACCTCAATTATTTCTAATTTGTAGTGCGAGAAGTAAATAGCGAAATAGAATTGGTAACTCACCAAGTGTAATATTAACAAAATAATCTTGTGTGTATTATTAAGAACTTCAGTCCGATCTCCACTATAATTTCAAAATAAGCTAAAAATAATGAAAATAAAAGTTTAACTATTAGAAAAGCATAATTAAAATATTTGATAATACTCTCAAAATACAATGAGTTTGATGAGACCTAAATGGTTCTACTAAATGATAAATTAATAAATTGTTTCATCAATTATATTAAAATATGTTTACGATTGAAAATATTACAGTAGTAGTACTTCTGTCACAGCGGCCATTGCTTCGTCATTGGGTGAAATCAATCTCCCTTTCAGTAAATTGCAACGTTAGAATGGACTGGAAGCTGTTCAGTACGACCTTCCATTGAGAAATGGAGTAAAAACTGCGATCGAAAGCGCCTTGCAAACTTAGCTCTCCCGTGTGGTGCGAACAAAAAGCGTTTGGACATACAACTCGCAAGAAATACCGTTTCGTATTACTCAAGGTTAGTCATAAGGCTAACTAACCACAGTCATGGTCGATCTCTCCCGTTACCTTTCATTTAATTTCATTCGTAGAAACTAATTCAGAAAATATACTGTACTTTTTTTAAATGTACATCATTTTACTGGACAATGACTGAGCAATAAATAGTAATGTTGGAAATAATATAAATTAAACTATCTTATCTTCCAGTGTTTGTGCAATTTAGACACGAATGCAAATACTAATTATTTACGCAACTGGTACAAAAAGTGAGTCTAATTGTGAATGAAACGTTGACGAACGATACAACGATAGGAACCCAGTCGGGCATCTCGAAATGAGTACGCCAAAGAACCTGTCATACGAGATGCGTAAATTATTTTTTGTGTAAATTCGTGCAAATTTACGAGTACATACTTGCGATCATCCTCAACATGCGAGGCGGCAACCATGTTCACTCATATTGCCCAAGTGTTTTGTTTACTTTGCATTACTAATTTGTTTTATACGGCTATGACCTTTTTGCTGTACGCCTAGTGCCAATTCTATTTTGCCGCACTTCAAAGTACTATTTTGCCGCGTACTTCAAAGTAACACACACGTAACAGCGAAGACCGGTTTACGTGAATGAATGCTGAAAAATGAACTTTGAGTAAACTTTGATTGTAAAGAAATTTAACTGGTAACAGTTAAAAACTAGCAGCAATCAAAAAACCACAAGAAACGTTTGTTCATGAATCCATAGAATGCAATTAAAGTTTCTCCTGTTCCCTATGAGAAGTGTCACTGAAGAAATAATACTGTATTTTTGGAATAAGGTATGGGTAATAGTCTGCTAAGAGCGACTTCCTGTCTTAGATACTAATCATTGTAAACTTTAGAAATAGAAAATGAAGGTATGATTAGGTTACAGTCTTAAAATAATATTTATTACTCTTATCAGCAACAGCATTTTCTTGTAATAAAATTGAATTTCGCGTTGTTTCAGAAATAATTTTGATGCCGTACTCAACATTTGTTTTCCATGTAGTCTAGCAGCATATCAAACTTTGATAATCACGAGAATCATACTAATGTTTAGAAAGAGAGCGTCGAGGGCAGCAGGGCGCTCCATTACTTTGTGTTATTGGGAGGAGGTGCGTGCAGGACCACATGAATGAGTGAGCGTGTGCGAAACGAGACAGACCGCTTCGCACTTCGGAATGATGAGGTGGAACAGAGGTTAGCGCGCACGTATTAAATATCTCTGTTTAGGGGCTTCGAATGGCGAAAACAGACGCAAGATTCGAAAATCCATTGTGTGGTTTCATCGGATTTCAGGATTGGAATATTCCGTCTCTTTTACGTCTTTTTCACATAAAAGTAATTTATAAAACGTTTCATAAATTCGGAATTTTATAAAATCTAGCTTTTTCACAGTACAATTCGAAGCTTCATATGAAGTATGAAATAGAGCATATACTATTTTCATAAATGTACGCAACAACCATTCATCATTCGCCAATGCATCGCCACGAGAGCAACGCAACTGGTGAGAGTACCGCGATGCTCAAATGACAACTGCGCCATATTTGCGCCCGGAAGACGGTAAGGTTAGGTTTTGTTACGCGCTCTTTCTAATTCTTGGTTTCCTTGAGAGATGAGATAAACAAGGATATAAATGCCAAAGTAGTTTGTCTTGAGTAGTCATCAGAAGGGCAATTTCAGATCAATTCTCACTTGTTAACGCCCCTTGCATTATAATTATAATTCAAGCCGAGAGGCCGAAATAGTAGTTAGTACATAGTATTCGCCATAGAGGGCGGGCCAAACAATTTTCAGAATAGTTTGGCCGTCTAAAACATACTTGTTTAAGATACGATTGATGAACGTTTCATCAAACTAATTTTATAAACAATATGACCACATATTATGGGTCATTAATTTTCGCACGTTTTGAACGGGGCACGCCAAATGCGAGTGTAAGGAAACGACACTTACTCGCAATTGTACACTGGTAAGGTAGAGCAGGGAGTTATGATTCGAATGACAAAAATATAAATACTATTGGAATTTTCAAAATACCAATCTTCCAATGTAAACGGAATTCAAGGATTGGAATACCCCATCACTAAAATACTCGCTTCCTTCGTTTTCACAGCGCGCCTGCAGGAGCGAGCAAAGGGTGCGAGACTTTCACACTTGTGGACTGACTGAACAAATTTCGTTTGAAGGAAAAATCTCTAATTTTGAAGTTGTAGGACGAATAAATCAAACTTCTAAAATTTTCAAAAATTTAGAGTTAACCGTGAAAATTGAACCTATGCCACCTTTATAAGTGTATTTTATTTTAATCTTACAACAAATTTAAAGATACAATATGGAGCCGTTTTCGAGAAAATTTTGAAGATGTCCCAGGGGCTTTATGTAATGCACCCCCAAATCTTAAACAATGTTTTACAAAATTTCAAAGCTTCAACTAGAGCCAAATGGACAGGAGTTTCTTCCAATTAAAAAAAAAGTCTACGCATGGTCGCGCGCTAGTAGTGTTTATTGACAGACGAACAGATAGATGGACGGACGGACGTTCTAAAAAAAAAGAAACAAACAAACAAACAAACAAACAAACAAACAAACAAACAAACAAACAAACAACAACACAGTATGTTTTTCCTTGGAAATATGAAAATCAATTTCCCGCAGCATTACATTCTTTACTTCCTCTAAACTACGTATATTACTCTGTACGTATGTGGAAAGTAAAAATGGATAGAGTTTTCCCATCTCTAGTGTAAAATGAGATCCCGTGTCTACTACTAGCGAGGAGCGCGGGGAGCGCGTGGACTTACTCGCACTTGCGGGCTGACGAGGTAGAGCAGGGGGTTGGCGCGCAGCCGCTCCGACTCCTCCTGGATGCGGCGCACCTCCTCGCGGCGCGCGGAGCTCAGGATGGACACCTCCTCGCGCGACATGGCCTCCACCGCGTGCGGCAGCCCCTGCACGTCCGGCAGGCTCTTCTTGCGCTGGATGGGCGTGGGCGCCGGCATCGGCTGCGCACGCAAAGCCACGCTCAATCTCAACCTCCGCCTCTGCGGCAGCGACAGCGACAGCGCGCGCGCGGGAGCCCAAGGCAAGCCCACAAACATGATGCGGGACTCGCACAGGGTTTGGAACACGTGTGTACACGGCGGCAATTGAAGAGTTTCTTGGGGAAACAGCATTAGTCCGAAAATAAAAAAATGGAGTTAGAGCTGCAATCTTGAAGTGTGAACTTTTATGCAGCAGAGGACAATATCGACTCGGAAAAGAGCATTATTTCCAAAGAATACCAGCGAAGAAAAATAGGTGATTCTGGAAGAACGTCTAGTGTGTCCAAAGTGTTTCCGGTAAAAACAGCGTTAGTCATGTACAAGATAAAGTCGTACTTTCGTAGAAACGAAGATAACAACAGCGGGTACGATGAACGATAAGCGTCCAGCAGGTCGTTTCATTATTTTTGTTGCGTTTATTGCACGTTTAGTAATTTTCATCTACAATAAATTAAAAACGCTTTCGTTAAGTATTTGTTGGAACTTGAACTGTTGAACTGTTCTTACTGTATGCAAGAATAACAATACAATATGTCAAATACCGCTAATTTTTATTTCGCAAGGTTCTAGTATCTTGTTCATATGTATGCATAATATCAAATGTAATCTGCAATTTTCAAACAAAAACAACATATGTACTTTCTTTGTTTTAACTTTTGAAATGTATGTTTTATTTTCTTATAATTTCATTTTATGTTTGATGCCGTGGAAATAAAATCCCATATAACATGCTGAGTTAGAAAATGGATTCTTTATCTCATTTTACACAAATTCAATTTTTGAACCAATTATTTTTTTCCAATAAGCCCTTTAATTGACAGGCTGTTCATTTTTGTTTGTTTACATGTTTTTTGTATTTATTTACGTATTAATTGCATATTAGAAGCCCTCAACTAATACGAACATTAAGACCCATGAGATGATCTTATGAGTGGATGATAGCAATGATAATGAAGTGAATGATGATGGAAAATTGGTCGATTGTTAGGCAGGAAACCCGGGAAAACCTCGAGAAACATGCCGAGAGATCACTTTATCTACCATAAATTCCACATGGAGTCCACGAGGGTATCGAACACTGGCCCCAGCGGGGGAAGGTGTATGTGCTATCCTTTACATCTCGAGCCCCCATATTTTGCTGTTACTGCGGCAAGCTGTGTGTAGGACAAACTCTCTTCATTTATGACTGAATGCTTAATAAATTGTAACACTTATAATCCAAGCCAGGAACTCTCAAAATCCATGAATGTATACCGTATATAAAGTTAATTTACAAGTGAATGATGTGACATGATTGAGATCAGTTTTTCCTGTATGAGTGATTTTGCATAAATTTCAAATTATGGCATAAGATGAATAAAATGTTGCCATAAAATGAATATGCGATTAAACGCGTGTATAAATGACAACGTAACCGGGAGAGAAGATCATCTCTCAGAAAGTTTCTGAAATAAGATTTCATAAACTTTCGCAAAAGTTTTCAAATTTATTGTTGAATATATGAGTAACGAAACACCTAGCGGTCGTTGTATTTAATACCTCAAAGCTTTAAGAAATGCTTGAATGTTAACATAATTAAAATGATCTGCAAAGAAACGCTAGGAAAACGAAATATACATTTAAAAAGCGCCAATCATATTTTGTAACAAATAACGGAAGCAATATAGTCGAAGTAAACGCTGAATATATCAGTCTACAACAAAACAAACTTATTATAAAATGTTGCGCAATTGTGTGTTTCTTCTTCCCAGCTTCCAAGTTCTCTTACCGAGATGCTTCTCCTCACAAAACGGCACTGGTGCTCGTTTGTCATGTATCATACATGTTTTAACGCAGCGCATCGGGCTAAGTGCAAATCGATACAATCTACACTGCGCCAGGCGCTCGCTCTGAAAGGAGGACAACACGTGTCGCCGCGAAAAACAAGAGTTTCTTTGCTCAGGACAAACACGCGAGGTCTCTCCCCCGAGGACTGCGAAGGGAGAAAACAAAGATTTCCTGCGGGCGAATTCAACGCCGTCTCGAATTCGAAATATGAAACGGGTGGTCCTTACGATGAGCGAGTGGTTTTTATCTGTGGCTGTTAAAGATCTGAACATTTTCCCTTGCAAATAATTAACTCAACATGATGGTTTTGCTGAGTAATTACTGAATAATCGACGCTCTCATTGGACTTATTGCTCATACGTGCTGCCTCTCATATGCTACTTCTCCTTTCCACACATTTTGAAGATCGAAGGGTCGTTTACAGCAACCGATATTTCCGACTGCAGTTTAATGACAAATTAAACATTCTAGTTTTAGTTTCTACGATATTTTATAGTTTAAAACTAGTAATTATACAAAAAAAATTAAATATTTAGATATGTCTGTAATTTTTCTGGATACGTCCTAGCGTTTATTTATAAACAACACATTTATACCGAAAAAGTAACTATAAGTACAACAAAATTTGTTTATTTTATGATTTAATTATGATATCAACTGACACCCTAGAAATTAATAGGATAAAAATGCTTCGCTTTCGATGCAAATAATTACGTTTCTTACAATTTCAGATCATTCTACTTTTTCAATATGTGGTCCACCAGTGAAAAGAATGTATAACCATATTCATAATACGAAATATACTTTTTAGACAGCCAATGGTAAAATCGGTAGCTTTTAGGGCATGTACAGCATGTAGCTAAATTTCCTATTTTTGGCTCAAGTGCTAAAAGTGAGATAATGTTCAAAGCAGAGAAAACTGAATGCATCAAAGAAAATAAAATAATTGCATTTGATCACCTACAACTGATCTTAATATGGTACCCCATTAAGTATATTTGAGTATATTTCAATTAAACTAAAAAGAAAGTCAGTAAGGCCATCTTAAAATAGTGCATAGCTCCTGGCAAAACTTATTTTATTTTGCTTCTAGAATTGCTCCAATCGGCCTCGTGGCGCAACATTTTCTTCTCTCCAAATAAAATGTCACAAATTTACAACACATATCGTAAATAACTAGTATTCATAAGTATTCACGAGAATTCTTATAGTATATTTCTCAGAAACGAATAGCAAAAGCAACAAATATGTTGTAACAAACATTTGGAACAAATGCGGAAGTACACGTTTTATCTAAAAAGAAGTTCTATTTCTTTCGTATACAAACGTTCCAAAATTTAATATTAAAAAAGGCTACGAAAATTATGTCATTTCTTATTCCGGACCCCCGCTCCACTGAAATAGTGATTAACTACAGTTCGCTTCCATATGCACTCATGGTATCAAGGGAACTAGAATTACCCTTCCAGATGGATTATGCAAGCTCTCGAATTAGCAGGTACATGTCCTGGTGGAGGATAGGACAACACCGCAGGGGAGTGAATGTTCTAGGTCATTCTGACATTAGGTGGGATGAAATGATCAGCTAGGGGAGCTCTGTTTACGCCCGGGAAACTCATTGTGAAGCAGTACATCTATAATTAGAAACGTGTCGACAGAACTTGCTTTTGATGATTGTTTCCACAGAAACGTGGACTTCCCTTCTTATTTCACACAGTTACTTTCATTATTATCCAATGAACTATTTCGTAAAGAAAGAAAAAAATCAACAAACAATTGCACATAACTTAGCGATTGGTGTACTTCAATTTCCTCATAACTTTCAAAACTTCTTCCGCAAACGTGGAGCAAAAGCAAACAACTAATGTCAAATACATTTCAAACAAATTACTCTTCAAAAGAGAATCATGAAGACGCCGTGGATTCACAGGACTTGAAAGCATACAAAAAATACCCAGAAGTAGTAAACAATAAGATAAAAAGAACTTTATACGTCTTGACAGAAAGTTTCCTGCTCTGTTCAAAAACGGGAAACGTAGATACTACGGTATTAAAGAATACAAGTGTAAATGTGTTGGACGTAAGTCATTATATCAGAAGTGATGTTAAATTAGTGATAAATAACATTTAATTTTAAACAGAAATTGCCTTCTAATACATCGACCATACACACTCTAATCTTCTCAAATCAAATGCTTCTTATTCACAGGCTTGGTACTTTCTTTCTCGTTCAGCCTTTGGGCAAATAAAACTCAACATTATCATCATTTACAAATTCGCAAAAGTACCTTCTTTCATATCTTCAATGATCATTAAAAATATAGAGAGGTTTTTCAATTGTTAATGGAAAAGTTCAAATGTTGGTTCAGATTATGAAATAAACATTATCTTGCCAAATGAATACAAAATAAGTTTTGCGTTATTTTGTAAAATCTATATTTTCGAAGTAATTTTGTCCCGATGAAACGAATGTTGTCACTACAATGCAAAGAAAAATTCAAGATCAGATAACGATATTAAGATTAATTGTTAGCACTATGTTTTCCTACGGAGAAAACCTATTTAATATTCAACAGAAATAGCTTTATGGTACAAATTATTTCTGAGAACGCTTCAACCCGAAAAGTGAATGCAAATAAAAAATAATGAAAAATAGTATTGGGTTCGGGAATGCTGTTCCGAATGACGAAATGTCAAATTAATATTGTATTTTTCTAATTAGAAATTATTGAGAACATTATTTAATGGTCTTCAATATCCGATAATAAAATACCGTTAGGGGATAATTCAATCACAAATGATTAAAACCATATTATTGATTGCAAAAAAAAATGCAAATCATTTATTATTCCTACATGACATCTAAATCTTCTGAGGACAGTTGCGGCGATAATAAACTTCGTTAACATAAAATGTGCTCTACCAATCAACGAATTATAGTGCGAGTACTATTAAAATTCTTCTAGCGTGAATATCCCATTAAAACCAATATAATCCGAGCGCACTTCCCGTGAACTGTGGAGAGCGGCACCCCTCAGCAAGCCACTAGCGCCCCGAGTGGCGCCGGCGATCGCCCCCTCCCTGCCCGCGGGCTGGCCCCTGAAATAGCGGGAGCGGAGGGGGCGCATATTTTCGGCGTCGGCGGAGTGGGACGGGCCGGAGCGGGGCACAGGCTGCGAGGCGGCAGCGCGAGATGGCAGCAGGCGCGCGGCGCGGCGCGGCGACCGGCC